GGGAGGGAGGGAGGGAGGAGGAGGAGAGTAGTAGTACAGACTGGGCCGAGAATCAAACATTTCATCAATGCATCTGCATACTCTGTGCACAGAAGCATGTGTGACTACTGCAGACTGGGCTGAGAAGCACCTTTTGAGACCGGGGGGGGGAGAGGAGGAGGAGGGAAGGAGTATGAAAATTTTGCTTATTCAGATCTCCAAACTAGCGTACCTGACTTCTAGCTGCGGATGTCACGCAGTTAGGGAACTGTTCAGCCCAAGGCCAAGGGACCAAGATCCACACAAGCCAGCAGACAGGGCCAAGAAACATCTTTATCCAGAGCACACACAGATGGGGAAACGAGTATCCGAATCTCCCTTCTTCATATCTCTGCATGAATGAGTGTACCCGACTTCTTCCTGCTGCACAATGCCCACATGGTAAACAGTACTTAACACATAGACGCTAGAACTGCTAATCCTGAGGTTAAGAGTTCAACCATATAGACGCTAGAACTGCTAATCCTCAGGTTAAGAGTTCAACCATTCAACGTTTTCAAGTTCTAAAGCAACAAGGCAATTAGTGATATGCCGATCGTTCTGATCCCTTTTCAAGCTCACTCACCACCTTCAGCTGGTACTCGCTTCTCCAGCATGACGCCCTTCTCGGCCGCTTTCTTTGCTTCTATAACCCACACCTGATCCTCTTTTGACAAAAACTGAAAACCCGGGAGCAATTCTGCGGAACCACTCCACAGATCCATCTTGAAGAAGCATGGCGCATGCCGCCATGCAGGTACCTTCCCCCTGAATTGCGCACTCTCAGATTCCGCCAGTTTCGAAATACGCACCTGCAGCAACGAGCGCCGAAAGGCAACCAGTCAATCAGACATTTGACAGGGAAACAAGGTCAACAAGATCTCATCTGTAGAGACTCACTAAGAGTCCTTTTCTCCCTTTCTGCCTACCATTTCCGCCGGGCAATCCTTTACACAGGGTCTCCTGAATTTTCTCTGCTTTTCATAACAAGTTCATGTTGTTTTTTCAAGGACTTCTATCCGCGTTCGTATTCATTTGCAATTGCCTATGTATGTTTGAATTTTCACCCAATTCTTTAAACAGAACTTCCAAATGAACCACTACCATCTTCACCCGAATAGAGCGCCCGGTCATTATAGCTGTATCTGGACTGAAAAATTGCGCAAATACTGCTGTAATGACCGGGCATTCTATTCGGGTGAAGATGGTAGCACATAGGGAGAAAAGGACAAGAGACTGGGGGCCGTAAAAACAGACAGCGGAGGTTCAATGACTCCTGAGGGGTTGAATCCTCGACAGTCTGCAAAGTCCACTAACAGACGATACTGCAACTGCGATATAATCCACACCTTCATTCAAAATCAAAACAAATCAGCGCATTTCCGGAAAAAAAAAGAAGGGTGAGGAGAGGAAAAACAAAACAGCGCCTCTGGACCTTAACAACAGGAAACATTGAGTGTGCACTTTGATGTGAGAGACACTGGACCTGATTTCCATTCTTTTTTCTTTTTCTTTTTTAATTTGGAACTGTTTCTCGATTTGTGTGTGTCATCCTTGCACAGGGGGCCATGCAATGATGCGAACCTTTTTTCTCTGCATCATTCAAATGTGCATGGATGCCCCTAAGGACACAGGTGATTTCACTTCTTGTTTTTTTTTGGGGGTGGGGGTTGGGGGGAAGGAGAAAGGGGCAGTGATTTTAATTCTCATTAATGAAAGATTTAAAAAACGATGGTTAGAAAAGAATAAATAAAGAAATAAATAAATAAACCATCACCCACCCACACCAGACAAAAGTCTCTAGATGAAACATACAGCTCAACTGCAGGATGGTGAGCATGCAATATCGAAGGGGGGGGCTTGGAAGGAGAGGGGATGTTCAAAATAAAATTAAAAAAAGGGAGAGGGGAGGTTACCTCTCCTTTGAGGATCTTCTCCTCGCAGGCCTTGCAAGTCGATCTTGAGCTTTTGGCATATTCAATGGAATAATCATTAACGTCTTCATCATGCGCACCGGCAAATCCTTCTCCCTTGGCAGTCCGGCCCGCAGCTTTCCCCTTTCCTGCTGGATCGCCCTTGCCGCCGCCACCTAGGGTTTCCCCGTCCGCATACTTCTTCAATCGCTGCTGATCTTCCCATCTCAAAAGGTCTGCACCCTCGATGTCATCCACACTGCACCAATCATAAGGTAAGATAAGACAAAATCACAACCCAAATCACATCACCTCAGTTCTTTATTTCTCAGCTTATAAGTGAAATCATACCTAAGGCGCAGTCCAGTGTGCAACCTGACTCGCACAGTTGGTGCGGAAGATGGGGAGGGGGAGGAATAGTGTCCGAACGTGAGCGTGTGTGTACATGAAACGGAACAAGAACGAAAAGACGCACGAGTATGGCACGCACAAATTGTCCGAATTTGAAAAACAAAACGACAAAAGAAAACCAATAACACCCCCACGCCTAAAAAAACACGCCGGCCCAGAACGGCATCAGGATCCAGGGCATTTCCAAGGCCAGGTGCCTCTCTCTCTCTCTCTCTCTCTCTCTCTCTCTCTCTCTCTCTCTCTCTCTCTCTC